TTTTTTTTTTTTTGTCTTTTTCCGTGTCCGGCAACGGATCGCAACCCTCAGTGTCGCCCCCGTACCGGACCGGGGACCAGCAACGGGATCGCAACCCTCGGTGTTGCTCCCGCGCCTCGCTCAGCCAGTGAGCAGGAACCGGTCGGTATGTGGGATCCGAACCCTCGGTGGGAGCACCGCCGCGCTTCCCAAGCGGTGCACTATAGCAGTGCGCCACTGGGCCGGCCCTTCACACACTGATTCTACCCATGTCTTTCTCTTTGGTTCTCAGGACTCCAATTACACTTATGATGGATGTGTTAAAATGTCGTATGTTTCTTATGCACTATTGTGTATTGCTTTGCTCTGGATATTTTCTTTCAATGTATCTTCCAATGCATTAACTCTCTCTTTAGTTGTATTTAATCTACTATTAAACTTATTCAAGTTTTTAATTTTGGCTATTTTTCAAATATAGCTATTCCATTCTGTTTTTTAAATGATTTCTAGTTTTCTGACAAAATTTTCTCTTATCCTTTTAACTCCCTGAACATAGTAAGCTAAGGTGTTTTTGTTTTTCAAGCCTGCATCTGATTGCTCCATCTCCTGACTCTCCTCTGGGTCTTTTTAGTTAGTGTCTGTTTTTTCTCTTTGTTTCCAGTCAGGTTTTGTCTTCTTGTATGCTTAGTTAATTAGATGCTGTACATTGCGTATGTAAGATCACCTTAACCTGTTACTTTAATTAGAGCTGTGTGTCTGTCTGTTAGGACTGTTTATTTCCAGCTCACCTTCACTCCTAGGGTGTTATACTTCAAGGTCCAGCCCAAAGACTAGAGGACTTTCCAGGGCTTCTCCTCTTTGGCAAGCATTAGGTTCAGTTTTTGACTCTCATTCCCATGAATCTGTTGAAAGTTCTAGGCAGATTCAGCCTTTTGCAGCCAATTTTGGGATCAGCAAGTACCTTAAGAGAAAAGATGTCCCCAAATTTTGGGGTCTCCTTTTCTACTGGTCCCACAAATCCTTGCTACTTGGTAGCTCTCTAATGCCTTTAAACAGATGATTGTATTTTATAGTTTGTCCAGCTCTGCTAGATTTTCTCAAAAGGAAGATTGGTTTAAAACATAGTCCACCTTTGCTAAAAACAGAACTTCCTGGGTGTCTTTTAAATAATACCTAGTACCTCTGGGGAAATTCTCTTGTTAATTAAATTCATCAAATTGGGTTTACACACAACTCTTTGGGTATATGTTCACTGAATGAAGTAAGATGTTTTTATTTGAAGATGTTTTATTTGATTTTTTTTTTCTAGAGTTTTCAAAACATACACGTTCTCTATTTTTTCCCCTAGAAGACAATAAAGATACATTGCATGAATGAACCAATGTCCTAGTGGATGATCCCGGATTGCAACATCTTCTTGGTCTGATTACAACCAACTTTCCACAAAACCCAATGAATGAATGATCTTCTTTGCTCTCCACCCCCCAACCCCCAATATCCCTAACTGCCTACAGTCTATTTTCTATGCATGTCATTAACTTGATCACATCACTTCCCTTGTGAAAATACAGTACTGTATTCCCTGTGATCTTAGAATAAAGTCCAGAATCCTCACCATGGGCCTAGCCCATCTCAGCCCCATCACAGGTCCCTTTCCCCTTTCTACTCCTTAAACATGCAGACCTCTTCCCTGCCCCAGGTCCTTTGCCCCTCTGCCAGACTCCTCCTTCCTTCATCTCTCAGAGAGGCCTTCTCTGCTTCCACTGTAGTCCCCCTTCTCACCCAGCTGTTCTACATACCCACTCATCCATTCACCAATTCATGTGTTTTTTCCTCCCTGCAAAGCACTCATCACAGCTTGTAATTACATATTTCTTTACCTGTTTGTTTTGTCTCCCCTCACTAGCACGTAGTGGGTTAGGGAGCATGTCTGTGGGTTGTTCTTGTTGCTGTATCTAAGCACGGAGCGTGAAGTCCGGCCCATACAAGTGTTCAGTCAACAACTGTGGAGTGACTATCCCCATAAAGTGGAATGTTATTCAGCCATAAAAAGGAATGAACCTTGAAAACATCAGGCTACATGAAAGAAACCAGACACAAAACGTCACATATTGTATAACTGCATTTATATGAAGCGTTCAGAAAAGAGACAGACAGCAGGTCAGGGATGCCAGTGGCTGGGGGAGAGGGGATTGGGAGTGGCTGCTAATGGATATAGGCTTCTTTTAGGAGTGATGAAAATGCTCTGGAATTGGATTCTGGTGATGGCTGCACAACTTTGTGGATATAACAAAAACCACTGAATTGTATACTTTAAAAGGGCAAACTTTATGGTATGTGAATTATATCTCAATAAAAATACACATTTGTGGAGTGAACAAACAGGTAGGAGGGGCCATGGCCTACCAACCATCAGCCCTGGCCCTGGGGACACCTCCGCCACACTGCCCTTTCTCCTGTCGCGGGGTCCAGCCTACTCTGAGGTGGCATCTCTTCTTTAGAGCATGACAAGTCTGATCCCAACCATGTTCCTCTCTGCAAATGAGAACACAGAACCTGTGCTCTTTAAACAAATCTCACCTTTCCTCTGTGTTTACTTTTCTTCCTGCTTTCAGAAGATCATCTGCTCTGAGAATTTTTTATTCATAAAAACTGAAAGCTGAAGCAAACTCCTGGTCAGACACCCCCAGGGCCACCTGTTCACCCCGAAGTTTATCCTGCTGGGTGCAGGGCAAGGCGGGGATCATCCCTGCTGGGCTGCAGGCAGGGGGCATGGGAGGAAGAGATGCACCCTCCCTCTGCCTGCTCCAGAGTCCTGGAAATCAGAAGGCACTCCAAGCTCCTCGCAGACCCCTCCTGCCCAAGAGCAAGGCCACCCAGCCCTGGCCTCCTAGCACAGCCAGCAGATACTCATCAGAGGCATCCGTGTGCCAGGCCACTGGGACAGTGCGAGGGACAACACAGCCCAGCCCCTGCCCTCACAGTGCCTTTAACCTCACAGTAGAAACAGGCATTAAACAACGGAGGGGTGCATTGGGCCCTGTGACTCAGTGGAAACCTGCAGATGAGTAGGAGCTGGCCAGGTGGGAAAGAGGGAAGAAAGTTCCAGACACAGAGCATGTTGTGCAAGATCGCGGCACTAGTGTAGCAAGAGTCCCTTGTCCCTAGCAAACAGGAGGGAGCAACCCTTGGGGCTCCCTGAGCCCCCACGTGAACAGAACCCTGCCGTGAGTTGAGACTCTGCACCTGTCCTGTTGCTGCTCCATCCCCAGGGGCGGCCCAGAGCCTAGCAACTCTCTGTCTCCACTGTGGGTAAAAGCTGCATGGCCTGGGGCGAGCTTCCAGGGTTCTGGGGCACTGCAGGCAGCCACCAAGGAGAGCTGAGCCTGGGCAGGACCACCAGAAGGTTTGTGGGACAGAGCCCAGCCCCATGGGCTTCCGGGTGGGAGAAACATCCATGCTGCATGGGGGGACAAGAGGGCAGTCAGGAGCCCCGCCAAGCGGGGCCTCCACAGGGCACACTGCTGTCATGTAGCAGGTGATCAGTAAGTGTTCGATGAACAAAGCCCCCCACCCATCACTCACCTTGGATCCCAGCAAGGCTCAGTCCTCAGGCCTGGGGGCCCAGCTGGACAGATCTAAAGCCCAAGCCATCAAGCCCCAAGAAAGGATCTAACTGAGGATAGTGCCTACACCACCAGCACCCTGCAGGGCCCTAGGCAGCACACTATTCCCATACCTGGGATGGAAAGTGAACTAAGAAAATGCAGATTGGGACAAGGGACCCCATGCCTGGGACTCCAGCAGCAGGCACAGTGCTGTGCTGATCAGAATGCCAGGTTGCAAGTGACATAAGGCAAGAAGGGAAGTGTATTGGCTCAAGTATGCAAAGTTTACTGGGGACAACATCAGGTGTGGCTTGATCCAGGGGCTGCCTTGATCAAGGGGCTGCCTGGGGAAAGGTTAACACTGGAGCCCCTCTCAGGTTTCCTTGCTCCAAGATGACCCTGTCCTTCAATTTCCTTCCTAGTGACCACAACTCTTGACCTCACATGCAGACCCAGCCAAATACAATGGAAGGCACAGCATGCTGACTTCCCAGAAACTCCAGCAAACACTTCCCCCGCTTATCACTGACCCTAACTGGGTACAGTGCCGCTGCTGAACCCATCCTGCGGCTGGGGGAGGGATATACTGATACAGTCCCTCCCCCAGGTAGGAAGGGTGGATGGCGAAGGATCTCCAAGAGCTGCTCTCAGAAGATGGGGAATGTGCCAGAGTGCACTGCAGACCTTCACCCCACTATGTGGATGGGGAAATCGAGGCAGCTCACCCAATCCCTCTGGGTCCACCCTCGGCTCTGAAATGCAGATGTCCAGATGTCCTGCAAGCACCCCAAAATTTACCCCACCTGACTCTACATCCCCACACGCCAGCCTCCCCTCTAGGCAGCCTCTTACAGGTTTGTTTTCCATTGTGTCTTCCTCAAGCATTTATGGTACACCTTCTGTATGCCCAGCCTGGTACTAGGCCCTTTGTAGAGTGCCTCTGCGTCCCTCCTTTAAACCCTGCCCTCCATGTGGGGTCAGCGGTCTGACGGCTGGTGCCTTAGGCTGTGTGGCTTGGGGCAGGGGCCCTCGGGCCGCAGCTGGACACCTGGCTGCAGGCCTGCACACTGCCCTAGTGCTTTGGACCCTTGGAGAAGTTCTACCTCCTCCAGGTCTCTGTCTTTCCCCAGCTAAAGAAGGAAGAGGTCAGAGCAGTGACCTTGAAGGAAACTTGAGCTCTAGAGGAATCCTTCAAGGATTCTATGGGGGGGGCAACAGGTGTACTTCCTCACATCCCCCCGCTGCCCCCAGTGACCAGAAGGGATGCACTATGCAGTGTGGGGAGGGACCACATCTGCGTCCAGGCTCACGAGACAGCTCTGGGGTGAACTGGTCACATCTGCCGCGGTGTGTGCACGGGGCCAGCAGCCTGTGTGTGGATCGCTTCCATCCGAGCTGCTTTCTCCGTTCCAGGCACCTATGTGATGACCGTCACGGCCAATGACGCTGACGACAGCACCACAGCCAATGGGATGGTGCGGTACCGGATCGTGACCCAGACCCCACAGAGCCCGTCCCAGAACATGTTCACCATCAACAGTGAGACGGGTGACATCGTGACAGTGGCAGCTGGCTTGGATCGAGAGGTGAGGCAGGGGGCAGCCAGTGCAGGGGTGGGCGAGCTGCTGAGTCCAGCGGTGCCCGGCTAGGGGGCGCCCACATGGCCTCTCCTACCGTGGCCAGAGACATGGAGAGAAGCCGATTCTCGAGCACGCACTGCTGGCTGCTGTGGGCGTCACTGAGCTGTGCCGTGTGAGGCTTTCAGAACAAGCCCTGCCAGTGTGTGCAACAGTGAGGGGTGGGGGCTGGCACACGCACGTGATTCTCAGAGTCCGGCTGCCACAAGGCTCCGGGTCTGGGGACCAGACCTGAACACACAGGACTGCCTGCCTCAGAAACACACCCCTCTGAGCCCAGCATCTGCATGGGGGACTGTCCTGTCTGAGCGGCTGCGTGCCCTTCTGTGGCAAAGTGGGTGCAGAAAGAGCAGCGCTTTCCACAGAGTCCACCATACCCACCACCCAGGCCCTCCTGGGGCCTCACGAGGCTCCTCACACAGGCCTTCCTTCCTCCACCCATCATGTGGTCACCATCTCCTGCCCCACCCAGATCCAGACTCAGGAGGCCACCTGGGGAGGGGCCAAGACAGGGTGGCTTTGCTGCCACCCTGGAGCCCACAGCGTACAGGAGCATCTCCAGGCATTTGGCCACATGTCCCCACCGGGACATGCCCTTGGGGCCTTGGAAGATTCATCACCAGCTCCTGGCCAACAGCCCCCAGCCAATGTCACTTCGAGTCCTCCAGTGCCCAGGACAGCATGTGGCTGGCTGTCTCTTACCTCCAGGCCTTGCTTTGTGGCCTCCTGTTTGCCTGGTGACCACAGAGGCCAGTATCATCCCAGATGTCATTTACCCACAAAAGCATTTGGCCCCTAGGACCCGGCAGAGCCACCTCGCTGAGCTCAGAGCAAACAGGGCGGCCACCACTCACTGGGGGCTTGTTTGCAGAGGCTGTGGCCGCGGCTACCAGGTGGTGCACTCTGTCTTGGTGGCCCCGACTCTCCCCTGTCTGAGTTGGCTGCTTCTGAGATTTTTTTTTTTGGTGGCTGGCGGGTATGGGAAACCACACCCTTGACCTTGGTGTTACAAGGCTGTGCTCTAAACAGCTGAGCCAACCGGCTAGCCCTGAGTCAGCTGCTTCCGAAAGCACCACAGGCCTCGTCCTCCGGGTCTTCAGGGAGCCCCCCAGGAGCTGGGACTGCTGAGCCATATCCCGGGTTCTCCCTGCCCCGGCCGAGTCCCTGCAGCTGGTGATCCTGGTGGGTTTGGAGAGCTGTTGGCCCAATGCTGTGAGGCTACACCGCGGCTCTGAAAACCGTGCCTGCCATGTTGCCACCTCATCAGCCAATGCCAAGTTATAACACAGAAAATTCCACCCATCCCCATCCCTGGGAAGGGCATGAAGTGCTTTTCTTGGAAGTCCCCAAATTGTTAAATAGGGGCTGCACCCAGGTGACATGGGAAGAGAACTCGTGCAGCTGTGTGGCTTGGTGGGAAGGTGATGGCCCTAGGGTCAGCACGGCTCAGGACTCAGCCAGCCAAGCCAGGGTCCTTGCCAGCTGCATGACTGTGGGCATGTCAGGGGACGTGTGTAAGCCCCAGCCATGTTGCCTTTCATCTGTGAAATGGGGACAGAGATGCCAGGCCTGGGGCTCTGAGGAGCAGAGATGAGGGTCATGTGGCTGGCAGGGCGAGGGTCAGCACAGATGGTTCATGGTGGGGCTTTTGCTGCACAATGTAAATGAGTTTTCTTGGAGCAATGGTGGAACTTTGTGATGGGGAGGCAGACCAGAACACAGTCAATCCCAGCACCTGCATGCCAGGACAGGAGGCCCCCCGAGTCCCCTCCCAGGGACCACAAATGAGCACCTGCTCGGCATGGACAAGGCCCTACATGTGGAGCTGCTCCCGGCCCTGGTTCCTGTTGTTCAGCTGGGGAGATGGTCCCATGGACGCCACATGGGGTGGGCTGTCCGCAAGGTCCACACAGACGTGCGGCAAACCAGACACCATCCGCTGTCTCCTCCCCAGCCTGGGGTCCCCCACCTGCCCCGGGGTTGGAGGGCTGCCCCGTTGGCCACCCAGATGCCTGTGAGCAACACGTATTTCTCCAGGCTGGTGCCTCACTGTGGGGGTTCCACACCTTTTGGCAGAGCAGTGTGGTATGACCAGGGCATATGTGAGCATGCACTTTCTCATATGTTCTTGCACACGTATGCACACACACATCGCTCCAGAGGTGCCAGTGAGAGGCTGCGGCTCCCAGCTGTGTCCAAGGAGAAGGGGAGAGAGCAGAGCGAGCGTCAGGCCGTGGACACCGGCCCCTCTGGGGTGGCCCTTCACAGGGGACAGGCTGCATCTGGAGTCTGTAGCCCACCCCCATCCACAAGCCGTTCACTCATGGTCTGAAATGAGGAAAGTACAGAGACAGAGAAGGAGCACTGGGGACACTTCAGGAGACTGGACAGAGTCTTAACCTCCAGGGGCATGACCAGCTCATCCCTGACAGGGCACTGCTGGACTCTCACAGTGGGTGTCACGTGTCCCCAGCTCTACCTGGGCCACGGAGAGCCCATGGCGGGTTGGAAACATAAAGACCACGAATCCTTCTCAACAGAGAGCTTGGGAAGATCTGCTCCAAGGAAATCCCGCCCACGTGTCCCCAGCTCTACCTGGGCCACGGAGAGCCCATGGCGGGTTGGAAACGTAAAGACCACGAATCCTTCTCAACAGAGAGCTTGGGAAGATCTGCTCCAAGGAAATCCCGCCTGGTCCAGAGTCAAGGCTGACCAGTGACCCCGGAGCAGGAACAAATGCCCTGTTTGCTCCCTTCCTCGATGAGCGAACGTGGGCAGAGGTGCAGGGTGAGGCACAGGGTTGTGGAGCTGCTTGGACAGAGACCTGCCCTCGAGTTGCTCCCTGTGGCAGGGATGGGGCATGAAGAGCAGACACCCACGTGCTGCAGTGGGCAGAGAGGCATTGCGGGCAGACGAGATCCTGCTAACTGTGGAGAAACCAGGGGCAGCTGCTCAGAGGAGGTGGCCCTGCTCTGAACCTCAGGTGGAACCAATCCTGTTTTCTGTTCTCACTTGTCTCAAGCAATCACAGCTACGACTGAGGGCTCCATCTGTTTCTTCATTCACTGAGCATCTACTTGTGCTAGAGACTGTCGTGGGTTCTGGGAAGACAGTGGCAAACGGGGCCCTGCACTATGGGGCTCACTCAGCAGAAGGCAGAAGCAGACAGAACAGAGTCTCCAAATAAATTAATTCAGAAAGCGACTAGGGCTGTGTGCTGGGGAAGGCCGGGAGCAGGGGCTGGGGGAGTGGCCAGGGAAAACCCCTAAGGGCCCATCTGGTCCTGGCCTCTGTGAAGTGCATTGTGATAGTCTCCTGGGGCTGCCGTGACAAAGTGCCACAAACTGGGTGGCTTAAAACCAGGGAAATTTGTTCTCTCATGGTCCTGGGGCCAGAAGTCCAAAATCCAGGTGTGGCAGAGCCATGATCCCTCCGAAGGCTCCAGAGGAGGATTCCCCCAGCCTCTTCCAGCTCCTGGCAGCTGCACCCACCCCTCAGTTTGTGGCTGCATCGCTCCAATCTCTGCCTCCATCCTCACATGGCTTCTCCTTGTGTTTCTCATCTCTTCTCTTCATGTAAGGACACCAGTCACCAGATCAGGGCCCACCCTATCCCAGCATGACCCCATCTTAACTAATTACATCTGCAAATACCCTATTTCCAAATAAGATCACATCCTGAGGCTCTGGGTGGACATGTATGGGGGAGGGCGGTACTATCCAGCCCTCTGCAGGCATGAAGAGCTCTTCCTGGGACTCCTACGTGTAATGCGGTGTCCTCTGAAGCACTAGGATGAGAAGGCGGCAGCCCTCGCAGAGGCGGAGCCGTGCAGCCACTAGCCACGGTGGGCATTTGGGTTTAAATCAGTTAATGCCAAGCAGAATTAAGGCTTCGGCTCCTCTGTCACGCCAGGCTCATTCCAGGCACTCAGAAGCCATGGGTGACGAGTGGCTACTGCATTGGACCAGGCAGTTTAGAGCGTGGCCGTCCTTGCAGAGGTCTACCGCCTGGTGCTGCCAGCAGGTGTGGGCGGTGGGGGCTGCTTTCCAAGCAGAATGAGCATCTGGGCCGGGTGGGAGGTATGCCAGGAGGGGCCTAAGGCAGGACAATGGGGAAGGGGGGGTCAGGCCTGGTGCCCCCACCCTGCTGCAGACTCAGGGTCTCCTCAGTGGGATGTGAGCTGGGGTCCTCTAACCAGTACCGTGGCAGTGGTGTGTGAGGGTTTGCAGGGGAGGTTAGATCACTGATGTCCAGGGTTTCACGTGATGGTGCCTCTGAGTCTGCACACACCCAGCGATGCTGTGGCTCCCTTTGCCTCTAAAGCCCAGAGAGGGTGCCCACCTGCCCTCGGCTGCACAGCAGGGACGTGAGCTGGGAGGTTAGGACGCCCCTCTGTGGCCGGGTTCAGGGGGCCACGATGATGGGAAGGCCAGCGAGTGGTAGTCACCTCCCCCAAAACCGCTGTGACGTAGAGGATGGAGACAGACAGGTTTGAGGCTTCCCCTCAGACAGGGGGATGTAAGTCTGCCCGCGCAGCCACTCACCGTGCCTCCGTGCACCTCCGCTAGCTGGTGGATCCTCTAGAAAATAAAGATAACTGTTCTGTTCTTCAAAAAAGTGCTTCAAAAAGGACCAATTTAGCAACAGTTTGATCCCAAACTCCCACAGGTGGGGGCAGGGGTGCCCTGGGGAATGAAGCTCCTCAGGCTGGGAGAAGGGGATACAAGGAGGGGCTTTAGAAGTTGTAGACCCCAAATCCAGGGCCAGCCCCACAGGTCAGACTGAAGACTCGGGATCCGACAACCCAAGCCCAGCATGGGTGACTAGAGTTGGGGACGGCCCGAGAGTCTCAATTCACAGTGGGCGGCCAGACGCCTGGCCTTCTGGGGGACACTCAGAGAGCAGGCTGCAGGCAGGGAAGCCGCAGAAGCCATCCCTCGTCATCTTCG